ATCCACCCAGGCTGTCGCTTAGGGCAAAGAACCAATCGGGAAGGCGGGTTGCACGGCAGCCTAGCTGCTAGCTACCCGGCGCGTCCACGGGGGGCGGATAGTGGGACGGCTTTCAGTGAAGGTTAGCCGCGAAATGAGTAGACTCTCGGGTCTGGCAAATAAGTAGTCGCGGCCCAGCAGCGACAGTGCTACTAGGGTGTGAGGGGCTGGGATCTGGCATACCAAAAGCCTATAAAGTGTCGCAAAGCCTGACGACGGCACTGTGACATGGCGACCGTGAGCCACCATCGAAAAAGTTCACTTGTCACCGTTGCTTTGTGGTTAGGTTATTAAGCCAAGCGCTAGAGGAGACAACCTCAAACAAACAATCCCAGCAGCTGTTGGGGGCCTGTCTGTACTCAATTCCCAATAAACCTGAAAAAAACTAAATAAATCCTCCGCAACCGTTGACAACAGAAAGCCGGGACAGTGAACTGGCCATATCTGACTTATTTGTCTTAGTCAGTCTGTGACACACGAACCCTATCACAGGCTATAACAGAATTGCAGACAGTAACATCGCTGTGCTTCAACTCCGTCGGTGTTATCCTAGCGAATAGTACTAGCGGAGCATTGTCAAGTGATCATACACAATCATCTCTATTACCATCTCATAATAATTTCTAATCGAAACTGAACTGCATAGTTTCGGTCCACATTTCGTGAAATCATTCACTGACTGTACGACCGAACTTGATTAGGATCCGACCAGAAAATGGTTTTTCGCCAATGTTGTTCTAAACAGCGCATTTCCTTTTGATCGACTAAGTGGTCATATAGAGAAATAAAAGCAGTTATATGTGAATTCTTTTTAAATGGCAGAAGAGCAGTTGACGAGCATATGCAAGCTTTTGGTGTATTCTCATCGGGCCATTACATTTATATGGGATCGGGGTCAAAGGTGAACCTGCGGTCAATTACGTTTGTCATTTCATGCAAATGAGTCATGGGAATAGGTGGGAGGGAGGTTTTGAGGGTCGATAAGAGATAGCGTCCAGTAGTCTAAATCAACACTGACGAACTGTAGTCACCAGTACCTGAACAAGAGACCAACAAGCCGGGATTGTTGACCAAAACACACGTAGAGGATTTAAAACAGCTGCGAGAGGACAAAAACATCTGGGTCATTAGACCGGATAAAGTGGCGGGTGTCGTTATGATGAACAGATCGGACTACGTAAGGAAGATGCAGACCGTCCTATCAAACCAGACGAATTTCAGAAAAGTAGGCAAATAAAATGATTGTATGGATGAAGTAGAGGGTAATAAGAAGAAGAATCCACATAGGAGGTTTAATAAGCGAGCGTAACCTCGAACGCCCCCTATCAATTGGCTCTCCCCCC